TGAGTGTGTGTGTGTGTGTGTTGTGAGAGAGTGTGTGTGTGTGTATGTGAGTGTGTGTGTGTGACAGATGACCATTCGATTTTTAATTTCTCTGTTTTATATTTTTATAATAAACGTTGTGAAAATGGCTCCGTGACTCTCTTGTCATTATTATTCTGGGAAAAATCACTCAAAGCTCACCAGAGATCATCTGAGTTTGTTTCTTCAACAGATTTGGAGAAATGTAGCATTGCATCACTTGCTCTGCAGTGAATGGGTGCCGTCAGAATGAGAGTCCAAACAGCTGATAAAAACATCACAATAATCCACAAGTAACCCATTCACTTGCAGTGAGACACTGATGCAATGCTACATTTCTCCAAACCTGATGAAGAAACAAACTCATCTACACCTCGGATGAGCTGAAGGTGAGCAGATTGTCTTTGTCAGGTGAAGTGTTAGTGAACAGGTAACACAGAGACTCACCATCTGCGTGTGGTTGGGGAAGAAGGTTTGCTCGTTGAGCGGGAACTTCTCTGGACCCAGAGTCTGGTAGAGCTTGATCATGTGAGAGAACTGCAGAATCCAGACACACAAACACATGAATGATTCATTATTATAAAGAACACAGCATTCATCTTCATCATCTTCCATTTAAACTCACTAAACCTCAAAAACGACTTGAGCTGAAGCCCATTAATGCATTAAAGGAGTATTGTAACGCGCTATCGTCTGAGTTCAGTCTTCTTCACCAGTTGTTTAGTCTGAGTTTGCACTGAAAAAAGTGAAACAAAGTGCATTTTTATATTGGTGTAATCGTGGTTTCAGTTAAACCTGTTTTATTCAGTTTGTCTAAAAGCAAATAATACTCTGCATTCAAAAGATTAGAAGAAAAACTAAATGTGGGTTTTATTAATTTCTCTGTATTTTACAATCACAATAAACATTAAGGTCTTTTAAAGTTGTCTAAACTAAACTGAGCATTGACAAAATATTTGAGTTTTATCAGATTACAGATAATTTAGCTTTTGTTTATGGATAAATTCACTTACAAAAAATAAAAATACAATTATTATATCGACCTAAATTACGTTTTGGCTCATGCCTACAGAAAATATATTAATTAAGCAGTGTTATTTTAGTATGGTTACAGTATTAGTAATATTTTTTTTTAATTTGTTTATTTTATGTTTTCATTTTAAAGTTTTAGTAATTTTGTTGTGTGCTTTTGTAATTTAAAAAAATATATATGTCTATGTAGTTCTTACTAATTTTTATTTCAGTTTTAGTTTTAGTTATTTTGGTATTTAAAACAAAAATGAGAACCGATAAAAATAAAACAAGTTTAAGATTTTTATATTTTATTATTCTGTTAATCTTTATTTGATTTCAAGCACTACATTTTTATTTTATTTTTATTTTATTGCAAAATATTTGAGTTTTATCAGATTACAGATAATTTAGCTTTTGTTTACGGATAAATTCACTTATAAAAAATAAAAATAAAATTATTATATCGACCTAAATTACGTTTTGGCTCATGCCTACAGAAAATATATTAATTAAGCAGTGTAGTTTTAGTTTTAATATTGTTAATATTTATTTGATTTCAAGCGCTAAAAAAGTTTTTTTTTTAAATTTTTTTTTTTTAAATATGTCTATGTAGTTCTTACTAATTTTTATTTCAGTTTTAGTTTTAATATTGTTAATATTTATTTGATTTCAAGCGCTAAAAAAGTTTTTTTTTTAAATTTTTTTTTTTTAAATATGTCTATGTAGTTCTTACTAATTTTTATTTCAGTTTTAGTTTTAGTTATTTTGGTATTTAAAACAAAAATGAGAACCGATAAAAATAAAACAAGTTTTATATTTTTATATTTTATTATTCTGTTAATCTTAATTTGATTTCAAGCGCTAAACATTTTTATTTATTTTATTTTTTTTATTATGTCTATGTAGTTCTTACTAATTTTAATTTCAGTTTTAGTTTGTTATTTTGGTACTTAAAACAAAAATGAGAACCGATAAAAATAAAACAAGTTTTATATTTTTATATTTTATTATACTGTTAATCTTTATTTGATTTCAAGCAATAAAAAAGTTTTTTTTAATGGTTTTAGTTTTAACTTTTGTTTTAGTTAACTATAATAACCCTGTAATTAAGTATGGTCTTTATAATAATAAATAATATATTTTTACATTGTATGAATGTTTTTGTCTTTGGGAAAATAAAACTTTTTGATTAATATTAAATCAAAATTGGAGGTATAAACAAAACCATAAATATCCAAGAAAATCTGAGAAAAATTTATACATTTATTATTATTATTATTTATTCGTTTTATTATTTTCTGTGTATTAGTTTAGATTTTTCAGGTATTTTTCCAGCGTGTGCGTGTGCTGTGATGAGCATCACTAGAACCGATAAAAATAAAACAAGTTTTATATTTTTATATTTTATTATACTGTTAATCTTTATTTGATTTCAAGCAATAAAAAAGTTTTTTTTAATGGTTTTAGTTTTAACTTTTGTTTTAGTTAACTATAATAACCCTGTAATTAAGTATGGTCTTTATAATAATAAATAATATATTTTTACATTGTATGAATGTTTTTGTCTTTGGGAAAATAAAACTTTTTGATTAATATTAAATCAAAATTGGAGGTATAAACAAAACCATAAATATCCAAGAAAATCTGAGAAAAATTTATACATTTATTATTATTATTATTTATTCGTTTTATTATTTTCTGTGTATTAGTTTAGATTTTTCAGGTATTTTTCCAGCGTGTGCGTGTGCTGTGATGAGCATCACTAGTGAGGGGTTCAGACTGGCTCGACGCACCACCCAGGGTTTGCTGCAGAAGCTGTAGATGGAGAAGAGCGAGTTAACGCTGGGAACGGAGCCGTAGTTCAAGCCGATCACCAGGCTCCTGAAGTCCTCTCCCGGGGTCATGCTGTAGGCGTGCTGACGAACCAGCACGAAATCTGGCCTGAACGATCTGCAGAGACACACACGAGTGAAGACGCTTCATTACTGAGCAGAGCATCACGCGCTTCTGTCTTCATTTAGCATGCGTTCGTTACCAACAACGGCAAAAAAATCATCTTTCTAGCACGATGCACAAGCTCAGTGAATAATCTGCAAGTCAAAACACTGATATCAAAGACACCATGTGTGAGCCTTATCTGTATACCCTATATTTGTAGCAATAGCCAACAATACATTGTATGGGTCAAAATTATACATTTCTCTTTTATGCCAAAAATCATTAGGATATTAAGTAAAGATCATGTTCCATGAAGATATTTTGTAAATTTCCTACCGTAAATATATCAAAACTTAATTTTTGATTAGTAATATGCATTGCTAAGAACTTAATTTGAACAACTTTAAAGATGATTTTCTCAATATTCAGGTTTTTTTGCACCCTCAGATTCCAGAATTTCGAATAGTTGTATTTCGGCCAATTATTGTCATATCCTAACAAACCATACATCAATGGAAAGATTATTTATTCAGCCTTCAGATGATGTATAAATCTCAATTTGAAAAAATGACGACCCTTATGAGTGGTTTTGTGCTCCAGGGTCACAAATATGAAAACAGCAGTACAGCTTCTCAATCTTATTCAAGGATTTTTCGACATTTTAGCTGGTAGATTAGACAAAAGTACAGAATTCTATGTATGTTATGGTTTAAAAGTATGATTTTTTAAAAAGAATTAATACTTTTATTTATCAAGGATGCATTAAATTGATGAAAAGTGACAGTGAAGACATTTTTAATAATGTTACAAAAGATTGATTTCTGAAGATCATCTACACACACACACACACACACACACACACTATTAATAGTGGCTTAACTAGTATGAGATGTCTGTTTAAGTGAGGCAGGTGTAAATAATCTCCGTGTGTTTGGCAGATGATGGACATGTGAAGCCGAGAGTTGCTAGTTAATGCGATTTTCTACACACTGACTTCATGCATGCACTAAAAATCTTATTTTATTTCAGCTATTTGCCAAGTCAACATTTCTCATTTTCATTTAGTTTAACTTAATATGATAATAAAAACTATATAGACATACACATAGAAAACAGCTGTTTTACATTAGAATAATATTTAACATTTTTTACTGTATTTTTGATCAGATAAACGCAGCCTGTGTGGGCAGAAGAGACTGTAAGTGTGTGTGATTGTGTGTTTCTTAAAGGGCCGGTTCAGCTCATCCGCACACACACACACACACACACACTATTAATAGTGGCTTAACTAGTATGAGATGTCTGCTTAAGTGAGGCAGGTGTAAATAAGCTAGTTAATCTGATTTTCTACATACTGACTTCATACATGCACTAAAAATCGTATTTTATTTCAGCTATTTGCCAAGTCAACATTTCTCATTTTCATTTAGTTTAACTTAATATGATAATAAAAAATATATAGACATATTAAAAAACACACATCAAAAACTTGAAAAAAAAAGACAAATTCAAAATAATAAAAAAATGTAATGAACAAAACACTAACACTTTAACTAAAATAATAAAACCGAAACTATAAAAATAAAAATTATTCAAAATATTAATAAAAACTATATAAACATATATATTTTTTAAATGAACTAAAACACTAAAATGTTAACTAAAATAAAAAAACCTAAAATTATAAAAAAAATATAAATAATACAAAATATTTATAAAAACTATAGGCATATT